AGTATTAACTTGCCAACTACTCTGTACTGCTACTGTCTGGCAGCTTGTTTCAGATTAGAAAGTTCTTAACAAGAAAACCTGTAACAACCAAAAACCAACACATACTGTTACTTGGTGTAAAGAAATACTTCACACTCAAGACATTTTGTGCCCTTTGTTAAATTACAGCCTAACAAAGACAGTTTCTGTTTGTGCTGCATATTTCCTCGTTCTGTGGAAACGTGTCTTGTGTGTCCCACACCCAGCAGCAGGTTACAGAGTCTAAATGCATCTTTTCTGGAAGCATTTCGACATCAATAATCTGTGTGGTGTAAAAATCCCCAAAAAAGCCTCCAGCTACCAGAGGGCAGGAACAGCTGTGCTTTCAGTGAACATGCCCAGGATTCTGTGAGTCACGAGGGAGGCAACAATGGGAAAAATGTCCAATCTTTACACCTTGTTGGACACGCCCATTGATTGTTACTGGAAAGTTACAGCTCTGTTCATACCAAGAATGCCTTTAAGGTTTTAAAAACTGAGTCTAAAGAGTTCTTGAGACCCAATATTACAAAAAGAAACAAAGGAATCGCTAAGATTTCGATCACGACTCTTTCATAGGAAAAAATCCAAACAGTGCAGCAACCGATTAATGACTCGCCTGGTGTTGTGGATAGATCATCTCAGACTTTGTCATCACATGATGGTGTTTGTCTCCGCCCACCAAGGACTACCATTACTTTCATTATGAACTTTTTTTTGTTAAACACCTGTCCTGTCAGGCAGTTGTAGCAAGCAGAAGCATGTTCTGAATAGTTTGTTGTGCCAAACACATTTGCTTTCCAAAGAGAAGCATTAAAAACAGTCACCCTCTATTGTCCTTAAGCTAATGTGTTTATATTACTCTAAGCTGTGTTGCTAGCTACCAGATAGCATATCATTATTGAGGTTTTGCAGTCATGTGACTACTTACCACACATCAATAATTTTTTTCCACTATTTTGGACATGAAACCGTGTGGAGTTAAGACTCCAAGAGTCCAGTCTGCAACCATCTGGCAACCACTTATTGCTAGAGAAGAAAATACTTTTGATTGCTTTAGTCCAGTGGTCCCCAACCCCCCGGCCTCGGGCCGCGAGAGTTGAGGCTCAGGTGTGAAATGTATGGTTTTCAGGGTTTTTATCGTTAACTCTGTTTTCCTGGGTCTTTTCACGTGTGTTATGAATAAATCTTTTTTTCGGTACCGCTACTAGTTTTATTTTGTTGTATTTATCTGCAACACCTTAAAGGCCAGTCCGTGAAAATATTGTCGGGCATAAACCGGTCCGTGGCGCAAAAAAGGTTGGGGACCGCTGCTTTAGTCGACTAATCTGAAAGTACTCAGAAACTATTCACTGAGCAGGAGTGAAACTGGAATTGATAACATTTAAAGTAATGCTGAGGATCACATTTTACTTTGAAAAGTAAATTTTCTTCCATACAAATTACAGATGGCCGCTGCGATCGGCATCCAGTCAAAATCTTAATTGTGCAATAAACCAATACAGCCAAAGGTTCTACTATTTTAGGAACTAAAGAACTTGAAGAAGCATGTTGGTTTCATTTTTTCCCCCAGACAAAACAAACAAACAAACAGCCCGTAAATGGTTAATGTTGATTAGTTATCATAGGTCCTCTTGTTTAATGTGAATTTGGAGGTTTGACGGGTTTTTATGGAGGTAATTAAGATATTTTGGTCCAACAGAGTAAAACATGAGAAGTACCGTGCTGGTTTTAGGCAACAATAATGGTCATTTTTGAGCTGTCTGATCATTTGTATACTTGAGAATTCAATTAATTATTAATATCAGGTGCATTTTGGATGAAAACTATTATTTTGTGTGAAGGACCTCCAGTAACTACAGGCTCTAAAAATAATTCTGTTCAGTCTCTACAAGGCCACAGCACAGAGGATCTGATGGCTGATATTATGAAGAAGAGGGGTAAATCTTCTCTTAACTTGCTGCTTCTTGGCATCTGTCCTTCACACATGGCTCTCATAAGTAAATTTAAATGTAAATAAAGACTATTTTTTACACCTGTGACACCTTTACATCCTGTGTGTTCTGTATTCTAACACTTTGTGTTGTCGGCGCTAATCTAAACAGCGCTAATAACGCCGAGCTGGTTGCCATGACAGCGTGCCTCACCGTTTCCTGGCTCCTTGTCGCATGAGATGTTACGTCCTCCTTGAAAACTCTGCATTCATTAATACTTTGGAGACTGTGTTGTCATGGCAACCCCCTTCTAATCGCTCAGCTTCCTCCACAGACTCCTGCAAGTCATTAAGTGTCTGATGGATTTCTATCTGAGATGGAAGAAGAGGAGAAACACTCAAACTCCAAGCTGAATTGTTCTCTGTTTCCAGACTGGAATAAAAAGTTTGTATAATTCTAACTAGCTTGAAATGGATTTATTAGGACCATTCATTCTTTAACACAATATGGACTCTTAGGCAGATGTCTTGCGTTGTCCAGCCTTCTAGAAAGACATTCAATCCTCTTCTTTGCACATTTCTGCCTTTTGTACTATTTTCTGACACGATGATCCCACATTGGTCCAGTAATGTTGAGGTCCAGGTTCTGGGGAGGCCAATCCAAGACTTTTCCTGCATTGGCAACTCAAATTTGATTCTTACGTGCTTTGTTTCTAGTTTCCATTTCTTACCTCATTTTCCTTTATTACTTTCAGCTGTTTTTTGTTACTCCGGAGTTTCCACTCTACAGAGGCACCGGGGTTGTCAGACAAAGTCTCAGTGTGCTTGTGCACCTTGTGGGGTTGTACTACCTTTTAGTTTAACTTCTAAATAACTCTTGGTGTTCTCATGTTTTGTGCCTTTTTTCCACTTTTTGTTTGCAATTTAAAAGTGGGCAGAAAGATCCCATTCATTACACTCCGACTCACAAAAAGACAGAAACCTAAAGACGAACAATAAAACTGTTTTATTAATAATAATCCTTTTCTTGCACCACAATAAAATTTAACAAAGGCTCACTAGAAAAGTCAACTTCTGTGTTCTGTACAGTAGATACAGTACGTTGTAAAACTGGCTGCGGCGTGGCACATCAGCGCATTTAACCCCCCCCCACCCCAAAAAAACAACTATTATTCAAACACTTTGCACATTATTTACAGATAAGATCCACAATAAAAACCAGCTGGCAAATATCACAGAAATACAGCGCAGCTTCAAGCTATCAGCCGCTAACCTCTGGCTGCAAAGACTCCCGAAGAGAACCTAAATGGCTAATGGGATTGTACATTAACTGGCTAGTGTAGCATTGAGCTAGCAAGATAGCCAGGCTATAGTTGCTGTCCCCTCCAAAATAAAAACAAACAAACAAAAAACCCAACTGGTTGCTACCGGAGGTTATTTAAATCAAACATCATGAGCGTGACTGCAGCCAGTGACAATATTTAGAAAAACAAAACAAAGCAATTCATGCTCTTTTGATCTCAATAACAACAGCTGCTTCTCACTCAATCGCCTTTCTGTCCACTTCCCCTTTGCGTTCTTTCATACTTCCTGCCTACCTACCTGCGTGTCTATCTGAGCAGCTAGCTCTGAGCTAGCTTTGTAAAGGAATGCACTTTGGTAGAATCAACCAAATGCCCTGGGTGTTAGTGACAGCGGTTATAATAATAATAACTGAGCGATCTGAGGTACGAATATTTAAATTTAAAAAAAAAACAACAAACCTTTAAAACCACATTAATGCTAATGCTAACAGCTTGCACGAGCACCCTCTGTGCAGAGCTCAACACTAGCAGGTAAAAATGTGCTACTAGCATTTATTTAGCAATAGGCTAGTGTTAGCATCACTGCAAAGAAAACAAACGTCAGTGCAGCAGCTAGCGGCTGGGCGCTAGCAGTCGAACGGCTAGTGTTAGCTTAGCCCTCTTGTCAGCAGGTGTCACTGGTCTGTACCACAGTGACAGATGGCGACAGTGGGCTGATATGTGTCTATACATTGTGCAGCCATGTTATACATCCCCTGCCCACCCCAAAAATCATCTTATCACACACACACACACACACACACCTATGGATGTCGGTACAGGTTAGCTTAAAGCTACTTTGGCTGGTAAGTTGGCATGTTCTGTAATGCAGCAGATAGCAATAACAGGGAAACCATTCACAGGTGGATACAGGTACTGAAATATGGTGGCACTAATTTAGTATTACTACATCGTTTTTTGATTCATTCACAACTCCGGGCCCCATATGGTCTTACCTATGGCAGGAAGTTTGCCATTTATAGTGGGTCAGGACTCAGAGTGACTATACAGAAAGCTTTAAATCTGACTTGCTTACAGTCAAAAGTATTAGGAATCAAGAGTAAAACCTTGAGGTGTTCTTGTGATTTTTCACAAGAACACCTCCACAGGGTCAAATGTGGGCGTTTTGGTGTTTGTGTCCACTGTTTGAGCTTTCTGCTGCACTATTGTTTGCTCTGTAAACTGTGCTAAACATGTGTTTGAGTCTCCACTGACCACAAAACCATTGTATCAGATCAGTGAAGACAAGCTGGGGTTTAGAGGTCAAAGGTCACACGGGTTCACAAGGTATCTTTGGGCTTTACTGAAACAAACCAGGAACTGATCAGCATCCAGACTCTAAGCCATTAAATCTCACCATGCTGGTGTGAGTGGCACCAAAGGATACTGACGGACTTCCTGGGAGGTTTTGTTGTTCATTTTTGTTATTGATGCTATGACATCACCTCTTTAAGAATGTGTGTGTGTGTGTGTGTGTGTGTGTGTGTGTGTGAGAGAGACATGGCAATGAGATACTGAAGGCACACAGTTATGACTCTCTGCACTTCATCTCACTGAATTAAAAAAATAAGATAAAACTCAACCAATCAAGTCCTCAGAAAAAAAAAAAAAACAACATCAGAGAGGATCCCCCCCTTTATCCTCCTCTTCCTCCTCCAGAAGGGGGACAAAGCTTCCCCTGAGATGGGTGGAGCAGGTAGTGTCTGTTTTTTTTTTTTTTGTTTGTTTGTTTTTAAACAAGAGTTCCTTCTGAGCATCATCGTCCACTTCCTGCGTGCTACATTACATCACCAGGCTGATGGTGCACACAGCCAACTGTGGGCCAGCTTTTCTCCTAGTCGTCATCTTCCTAAGTTTTAGAGTGCGTTCAGATGCAGCTGTGTGTGTGTGTGTGTGTGTGTGTGTGTGTGTGTGTAAAAGTATGCAGGGTTGAGGGAACAAGCTTTAGAAAAAACCCAAACAAACAAAAAGACCCTTTATACTGCGCACGCGCATACACGCACAAGTACATACATCCAGCTCACACACATTCAAGTATACAGTATAAACTGCACGTAATACATAGATTAGATTAATAAATATTAACGTGTCGCAAATAAATAAAAAATCATCTCCCGTCCCATTATAAATTTTTCAATAATTAACTCTGATCCGTGTATCAGCAAATGTACTTCTTTTTGGATCTATATAATCAATAATCATTAAATTAATCTGTAATTTTACTGCGTCATTCAGGGCCAGATGCAGTGGCTCACTATGCTTAGGTCCCATTGGTATTCACCTTTAATCGCTCACTGACTGCCGCAAGTTTAAAAAAAAAAAAGAAGAAAAAAAAAAAAAGAAAAGGCTGAACTTTAGATGTTATTGCTCGATCCATTCTGACGTAGATGCTCCTTAACTATTCTTTGTTACTTTTTAAAAGGGTATTCACTACATATCATGCTCCAAATGGCTCTAAAGGCTGTGGTTTAAAACAACCTCGCCATACTTTGAGAAAAACCAAATGGAGGAGCTTAGTAAACCTATGGTACTTTGAAAATCAAAGTTGCTTACACTCATTTTGTTGCACATGAGGATTTGTGTACAAGTTAATTTTAGATAAACTTTTTTTTCTGGGCTTAGGTGATACGTCTACCGCGTAACGGTCAACAATCATCTTTTATTTTCTCTATACAATGACAAATTATTATTAAATACTATTTAAAATGGCTATTTAAGAAAATTCTTCACTGTCCCCTTTGGTTTACAACATTAAATGTATTTTTTTTTAATCCATGCTCTTTGCTGTGAGGTTTATAATGTTACTATTAAACCAGCTCCTCTCCCTCAAACCCCATTTTGTGCCCTCAGTGCTCAGTTTTGATTCATTACAAAAGGAAAAAACTGGTGCTTGTTTACTTCAAACATTCTTCTTTTCAGGCATTATTTTATCCCCATCAAAAAACTAAGTGTAGATATTAAAAATCTTTTTCATTCTGTCTGTGCTTCGTAAGGCTGGGCAGTGAAGAGCTAACGAGCTATGGCTAAAAACCGGCTAAGGCTAGCCGCCAGACTGCCAAAAAAGGCAAACGTGGAGCCAGCTATAGCTAGCTGACAGATTTAAAATTTGTTAAGCTAACTGCTAGCCAGTCAAAAGGTAAATAGCTAGCAAAGGGACAGCTAAGAAACATGTAGCTGTCCAACAACAAACAGTGCCAGCTAGGAGTTAGCCAGCTGACAGGCACTATGCTAGCACGGTAAAAAAAAGGCTAGCTACACTGTAAAACAAAAGCTAACTAACAAAGTTAGCTACCTAGCAGGGAGTGGGTTCTGCTGGGCTTTTAACAAACACCACCAATCTACCCCTAACTAAAACCCAACAAACTTTTTTTCCCACTCTGACATAAAACAAAGACTAGAAAGCTAATCACTGCACAACTATACCTTTAGAATTAAAAGGATATATCAAACTTAACTGTCAGTTAACCTCATAAACCTCCTTCATAAGGCCCTACACTGTGTTTGGATATAACCTTGTAAGACTGAAGCTGTTAAATTGATTAAGCAAACCAGCTAAAAAGATTCTGTACTAAAAACGCTTTAAAAACAGCCTTGTTCCCCCGTCAGCACCATGTTGTTGATGTGTTTGTGAGTTTGGAGCTACAGAGCGGTATAGTGAGTTCTGATTGTCTGAGTGGCGCTGCAGTCGGGTCCAAACAATGTGCGGTTACTTCGTGTCTCACTGCTCAAAATGTAAAACTGAGGATTTGAGGCATTCCTGAACGCAAGCAAGTTCATCTAACTGGGTTTTGTGCGGCGGAGTAGCCAATCCGCACATTTCCATGCCGTGTTTATTCTGAATGCACCCCAACAACGCTGAAAAACCAGACGTTTGTCAAACTGGACGAAACCATTTTATTCGGCTGGTTTGCCATCCTCCCTGCAGCGAGTGGGGTGCATTCACTCTCAGCTGACCAGTTTGGGCAGCACTGTCCTCGGCTGGATGTTTCCGTTGGCGTCCGTGATAGCTGCTAAGTTAGTCCTGGTTTTTGAGGAGGATGACGTGGTGGTGAGCTTTGAGATGGAGGTGATGGCGCCATCAGTAGTGGTCGTGCCACGTTTGGACGATGAGGTCTTTTCTCCAGCCGTGGTTCCTGACGGAGGCTTTGGAAGCCGCCTCCTCAGCCACGGGTGCCGAAGCGCATGACTGGGCGTGATCCTGAGTGCCGGGTCCCACTCTAGACACTGTTTGAGGAAGTCGATGAAGTGCACGTCATCGCAGCCCTTCAGCGCCGTGCTCCAGTCCTTACTGCCCGGGGGGCCGCGCATTTTTCCCCGCCGCGAGCGCCCGCTGTTCAGCACTGTGGTGCCATCGGGTAGCGTGGTCACGGTGCAGTACCGTGGGTAGCCTTTTGATGACACAAAGTTTTTCGCTCTCTTGGAGCCGTCAAGGAGCTTCTGAGTGGGCATTCCCAGGAGTTCGATGATGCAGGCAAGCTGGTCAGCTTCATCTTCGCCCGGCAGCAGGGGGTAACCAGTGAGCAGTTCGGCAAGGATACAGCCCAGAGACCACATGTCGATGGGCATCCCATACCTGGAGCCTGGAAGAGAAGAAAGAGGGTCACCATCAAATCCAGCCTGTGTCATTATTGGCTAGTCGGTCAAACAAAAAGTAAAGCAGTCACATTCAGGAAGTCCAAAGACCGTTTCCTGCGATGAACTGCTTTCAAGAGTTTCCTGAAACATCAGAATGCAAGTAATAATAACTATATCTATTATTAAATTGCAAAGATAACTTGATGCACATTAATTTTAAAGGGAAACGTTCGTTGTTGTTTTTTTTTGTTTTTTTGTTTTTTAAGTCGCTGGTTGGTTCTCATTTAAAGTCAGAATAACAAGCTTTTATTCTGTACATTATCTTAAAAGTGAAAAAAAAACCCCTCTGCTGTCAGAGCTCAAAAGCGATGACTAGTTTGGTTAAAAACCTTTTTTAAAAAATTAAATACGTAATTTTATATATATTTTATTACTATTTATTTAAAATGTTTAAATCAGTTTCCCTAAATTCAGTCTTCTTCTATATTTTTAATACTATTTTTTATTTAATGGCTTTTATTCCTTTATTGAGTAACTTATAACGTGCCAGTTTATTTTGTCTTCCATATGCGAAAGGAAACGCTGCTCTCAGTTTTCTCAGTGTTTTTCTTACCCAGAATAACCTCTGGTGCTCTGTAGAACCTGGACTGGATGTAGGTGTAAACCCTCTGATGTTCATAACAGCTGGAACCAAAGTCTATGACCTGAGGAGAGAAAGAGAAGCAGTTTGAAAGGGTCTGTGAAGTGAAGAAAGGGGATTTTCCTCTGATTTGTTTACAGCAGCTGACCTTGATGCCGCTGCGTCCCTGCTGCTTCAGTAAAATGTTCTCGGGCTTGAGATCGCAGTGGATGATGCGATTCTTGTGCAGTGCATCCAGACACTGTAGGATGGAGTGGGCAAACTTCCTGACCAGCGGGAGGCTGAAGCCCTGAAACTTGTTCTTCTTGATGAGCTCGTACAGGTTCATGCTGAGGAGCTCGAAGGTCATGCAGATGTGGTTTCGGAAGGTGAAGTTCTCCAGCATGTGAATGACGTTCATGCTCGAATCCTTGTCCTGCTTCTTCAGGTGCTCCAGGATGCGGATCTCCTCCGCTGCCTGCCGGTGGAAGCGCTTCTCGTTGCGGACCATTTTCAGAGCCACATGTGTCTGAGTCTTGTGGTCAAAGGCCTTCACCACCTGCAGGAGGAAAAGGAAGAGCATGACGCCGTCATTAATCTTAGATTAGATATTCTTGATGTCAAAAAAAAAAACAACCCCAAAAAAACCCCACCAACTAAAGTCTCGGAATAGAGGAGTATGCAAAGATATTTTTAATATTCATAGTTTTCCTGGTTCTATTCTACAACTGTTATTTCTCTATTAAAAAATTCATCTTAAAATTAAACATGAAGACTCATAACCTGACAACTAAAAGCTCCTTTTGTTGTGGCATTCCTTTATAAAGCAAACAAAGCTCAGCTGCTAAGCTGTGTAATAACCATCTCTACTGTCTTTGCTACAAACTACAACATCATCTGGAATCTTCTGCAGGCATTAAGGTTAAAAATTATTACCACAAAGACGCTAAAACTTGTCACCACTCTTAAAAAGTCAGGAACTAAACATAACCGCAAACAAAATTTAATAAAAAGTCAACAAAAATAATCTTAAAGAAAAAACAAAAAAGACTAAAAAATTCAGAGACTAAAAACAGGAAATTAGGGGGGGTCAGCAGTCATACCTGTCCAAAGCTGCCCTTGCCGATGACCTTCAAGACTTCATAGCGATATGCGATGTGGTCATGTGGTACATGGATGTAAGACCCCTGATCATCGTCATAGCCCCCGTTGTTGGCTCCACCGAGGACCCCCTGCCTCTTCTTGGCATTCTGGCCAACAAAATACACTGAGGAGGAAGCAGATGATTGATCAGTTATTGGTGGTTCTCTCCTGTCAATACACCCGACCTCTAATCAATCAGAACGACCATCTGCAGGCGGAGTGGTTAGGGACACTCACCCTCGGGATAGCTGAACATCTCGTGTTGCTCGAATGACGAAATTTTGGACATGAACTGCTTCATGGCCTGCTCCGGGGTCATGGGGTTGACCTTCGGCTTGCTGTCCGTCGACTTGTTGGAGGCTGCGCTGCTCTGGCGGTGGTGGTGGGCAGGCTCTGACGTCGAGGTCTGCCGGTCTGGCAGCGGCAAGCCAGGTCGGGACGAGCTGATTGGAGCCAGCCCATTGGGCTGGGAGGTCAGCACCGGGCGTTTGTTGGTGTTCTCCTCATAGAGCTGAGTGACATGGCCCTGCGACTGCGATGACAGCTGGACGGCGTCCGACATCGCAACTTTAGAGCCTCCCTGACCGAAAACAGAGGGAAATATTGGCTAAAAATAAGAGAGAGTCCTCTGCAAGTTGAGCCGAGGAAACCGAGGTTTATTTAAAAACAGTAACTAGCAGGTGGCCACTTTATGACCACTTATGTCGTCTTTGGTTTAAGTTTAGATTCTGGGACTTTATTTTTCTCCTTTTAATTATTCATTTTCTGATGCGTGTCATCCAAATATGGACCTGGACGTGCGCTCTCAGAGAAACGTGGATAATTAACACCCAGAAATGAGTGAATTAGACAAAAACTATTCCCGGAAAGATGAACTGTGTCCGGGAAATTATCCCCCTCTGATTAACAGGCGGCTCCGTCTCCGTCTCATTGTCTCCCTTTGTCTCCTGCTCACTGAGTCACTCCCCGTTGCTGTGGTGACCAGCACACCTGGGTCCTTTCAGATAACAGAGGTGCTTACACACACACACACACACACACACACACACACACACACACACACACACACACACACACACACACGGCAGAACGGCTTGGTTCAAAGACCTGGTGCTTAACACAAAAACACAGTAAGTGTGTGTTCTTGTGACCCGGCAGCTGAGGACACGGTGGCACAAACATGAGGATGAAAATCAGGAGATGAAACACTCACACAAACAGGTTTGTGTGTGTCTCAGCAGCTACAGTGACATATAAGATGACATGTGGCTCTGCTAACACCTCCCTTACCTGACTACACCTCGACTCAGTCAGCCAAATGTTGCTTCTTTCCTTCAAGGATTTCCATTATTCATTAATCTGCAGATTATTTATTTTTATTATTAAACATACATAAAAAAGCTAGGTGTAATATTTCCATGTTTTTAAATGGTTTTATATAAGAGGGCTGGGAAATGAGTTCTTTCAGGTGAAAGGTTAGCCACTGGACACCCATCTTGAATTGTGTCCAGGTACATATTCAGGCAGTTATTTTGAAGAATAATCAACATTTCTGTTCATTTCAATCGTTACTGAGAAATAAAAACTGCCGGTACAGAATTATCAGTCAACTGTGATTAAAGAATTTGCCCCAATATAAGATTTTATTTCTTCCAGGGTTCACTTGTCGTTAGGTTGCCCTCATTAATATAATGCAATAAAATTCTTAATGTTTTTATATGCTGAGCTCTAATTTTATTTATTTTTTCTTTTGTGTACCATATTTTTCAGACCATAAGGCACACTGTATTTAAGGCACACTAATGCAGGTAAATTACTTGAGGCTGGAAGATCAGTTTCTGACAATTAATATTTGCTCCTTGATTAAACATGTGACTTTTTCCAAGTGATAAGAAGCCTCCGATTTGCCGTCCTGGGCATCAATGTTAATGTCTGGTAAGAGATTCCACTGACGTGCCACAGGAAACGTCATTATCGTGTACAAAAGTGGCGATAAAATAAACAGAGCAAATAAATGATGCATTATTTCTTTTATAGCATTAGTCTTGCGTGTGCGTGTGTCTGCTCTTCACACCAGCCTATAAACCATTTAGCTGTTTAAAGCATCCTGGCACAGGAGGCTATTATTAGCCATGTGGCTGCAGCAGGCTGGTGCACAGAAGTGCTGCTTCTTGGCGCTAACAGTATGCTAACACGCCAACACCGACAGATGACTTCACCAGCTTATTTCTCCCAACGATGAGCCAAGATGAACGGGACAAAAACCTGAGCTGCAGAATCTGAATCAAACTCAAAAAAAATCACGACCTGCACGAAGCTGCTGACCACAAAGGTCTGAGCAGAACATCTGCCGCTAATCTGTTCATCACTTTTTCTGTTATTCACCTGCTGATGACTATCAGAATAAAACCATGTACCTGAGGCACACTAGCAGACTTAATGTTTATAATTAAACTGGATCAGATTCACATTCTTCTTGGTAACAGCTTCACAGTTACGGTATTTATTTTAAAGTAGGCATTGGTGTAGGGCTGGGCGATATGGCCTAAAATTCATATTGCGATATAATTTGAAGCACGTGCGGTAACGATATATATCACGATATATTATTTTCTTCTGTATAACGTGTTTTCCACACTATAAGGCACACTTAAAATCCTTTAATTTCCTCAAAAATCGAGAGTGTGCCTTATGTATGAATTCTGGTTGTGCTTACTGATCTCGAACTGATTTTGGCGTGCAGAAATCTGTTAAAAAATGTTTTAGTACAACTTTGGTAAGCCGCACTGCTTGATGGATTGTCAGAGCATTACGGCTGCCGTAGTGAGGAGCTTCGCAGAGCAATCTGCGTCCAAAACTCCGTCCACTTCAGGTCCCAAAGCCAAACGAACACTAAGAGTTAAAAACGGTCTAAATTCTTTCATCTTTAATTAAATCATCAACGTTGCTGCTTTATCAGGTGTAACAATTAAGTTTTACATCCATGAAAACAGAATTTATTAAATTTAACGGAGTTAGAAGTTAACAGGAAGTTAGCTCGCTAGTTTCCACCTAAACATCTCATACCATGTTCTGACTGAGAGATTTTTGAAACTAATTAAAACGTACAGCTCTGCTACCACTTCCGACATAAATGAAGACAGAAAACTAAACAGTGGCGTTTGCAGGGTTACTGAAGTTGGACTACCTGGTATATAATGTTGTGCTACGTGATTGCTAGCGACACAGCTATGTTAGCATAACATTAGCACAGTGAAGCTGGAGGATGAACGCTAACTTTTCCCCCCCGACTCAATAAAAATTAACGTGACAGATTCTGGTGGTCAGGGACAAATGCAATCGCATAGCAGAATGCTATACACGGGCCAAACTTCAGTCAGGAGAACAACTGAGATTATTCATCCACAATACGAGGTTAGTTATTAATATACTGCAACAACGCGGGAATAGAACAGCTGCGAGAGAATTCAACATTAATGAATCAATGTTACGGAAGTGGAGGAAGCGCAGTTTTTGGCTTTCCCCATATTTCAAAAGTGCTTCATCTCTTTACTATGACTGTCGCCCGCCATAATTTGCAGATGATAATGGTTTTAGCCGCGGTGTCACTACCCGATCCGTACCGGAAACCCGATCGGTACCCCGCATGCGCAAATCTTACGTCACTTCCTCTCTTTGCCAACATTGCGACATTCAATATATTTGAATGATACTGTTATCGCCCAGTTAGCTCCTAGCATTTCTCAACAGCTCTGCCTCCTTTTCGACTGCCCGGGACATTTAAACAATGGATAATCCGTATACAAAGAAATTCATGCTTTTCTCCTCAACAGAGAGTGTCCCCCGATTGAGCAACAGCGCCGTAAAATAAGAAGAATGGCGCCTAATTACAGAGTTAATAATGCAGACTTTGTAATATCTCACGTGTAGATTCATCAGCCAGATGAAGTGTTTACTGACAATTGACAGTGATAGCGCACATCATCATCACTATTCCAACAATCCTCTCCTCACAGACAAGCATAAACACACTCGACTATCACAAAATCAGATTTAACACACGTTTGTAATGACGATAATCCAGTTTATAATAGGGTTTATTCGCTCGGTCAGCAGGTGGCGGTATCCTCGTACACTGGGGAGTAAACTGCCATTAAACGAACAGAAGAAGAAGAAAACATCTGCACATGCGCGGTACGGATCGGGTAGACCCGATTTGTACGGTCAGACTTTACACATGCGCAGTAAGGATCGGAGAGTCCTGATCCGTAACTTTCTTTTTATTTTTCGTTTTTGTCTACATTGTACTGAAATGCTTCATTATTGCAAACATTTTAAGATATACTTGTTATTCTTAACATCTTAACAGATACTCTGACTCATAACTATCGTAAAACGCTACGACCGGAAGTAGAAACCTTTCGCGCATGCGGGGTACCGATCGGGTTTCTGGTACGGATCGGGTGGTGACACGCTGCGATGCTTTCGACCAAAACAGGCACAGCTTGATGACATCATCAACATGCGCGATAGAGATTTTGACTATAACGCTCTATCGTTAGCCAAATTTATATCGTTTCTATCGTATATCGTTTATGTCGCCCACCCCTACATTGGTGTAGTTCATCCACTTCCTTTAATCTCCTGATTGGCAGCCTCCCACAAACAGAAGATCTGAACAGCAGGAGGAGAGTGGAGCTTCTATTCAGCTCAGCAGACTGCTCAATTTTAATTTTCATGTGTATTGTAAGGTAAAGAACCCCAATGGTCAGGTGACTGCCTGTGAGCAAGCACTCTGTGATGCTGGAAAGGAAGAACTCCCTATTAACAGGAAGACACTGTTGGAGGGGAAGCCATCAACCCCGATTTGTTGAGAGCGGAAAGAGAATAGGGAAGAAAAAAAAAAAAAGGAGAACCACACAGTAAAAGAGGATATAAACTAGTCTGAGGTACTCAAATGACCTTATTAGTGACATTCCCTATTCGTGACATCACACAGAGCCAAGAGCAGAAAAACAAATATAAAATAATTGCCCTTTGGGGATAAATAATGACTTTCTGATTCTGATAGAGCGATCTGAATGACTTCTGCATGCTACCATCGTTGTTCAAAACCTTGTTAGGCAGCTTTTTTTCAACTTTTTCTATCATCATTATTATCCTGCCCTTGCTCTGTGGTTCATCCTCTGTGCTGATAGACTACAGAGTCTCACCTGCGTTCACATAAAGCCAATTAGGGCGGCGCATGGCTTGCTCTCTCCCCTCGCTCCCTGACAGCCTGCTGCGTGCAGGGTTCATAGTCTTTTTCTTCTTCCGTTTGTTTTACCAGGCGGCTCTTTGAAAGCTTTTGTATAATAAGGGCTTCCTAGAACTGCAGCAACACTGTCACCTCAAACATTAAAAGTAGGTAAAGCATAATTGGCCTAGTTGGAAGAAAAATTTTGTATTTTGGTAAAAGAAAACACAGTTTGAGCACTAATTTCATCAAAGCACATTTACACAGTTTGTGAATTTTGGTTAAACCTAAATGAGCAAACTACTCAAAGTTCATCTAAGTTTTAAAGATTCTGAGATCAAGAGGAAGAAGTCCAGATACTTAGGCATGATATCCGCTTTATGCTCTTCACATGTGTTATTTTGAACACAACAATGACAAAGAAGTGAAAATAATAAATGATAAAGCAGTGTGCAGCCATACCGTCAAATGATGGTGGTTACTGTTGCGAAGTGGGGGCAGGGCGGCAGGCGACGTGGCCTGAGAGCCGTTGTGACCGGGAGAGTAGACCGGCTCGCCCGTTTTGCCTGAAAGAGAGTGAGAAAAGATGATTATATGACAGCTTTGTTATTGTCATGTGTGTTTTAATGCCTTTTACATCATAAAGACCAATGCCTGTGTTTCAACTAGTCCTGCTTGGACAACAAACAAACAAACAAAAAAAAGAAAAGAAAAGAAAAAGAAAAGAAAATGCTGAAGAAAAAAAAGTTTCTTAATTTGAGTGTTTTAGCCTCAGGAGGAAGCCAAGATGGATTTTTTTTTAAGTCATAGATGGGAAACCTGACGAGTTACACAACCTTTATTGGGCAGTATCACGAAAATGAAGACTAAAACTGTGGTTTTAAGAGGTTTTAGACCAACTCAGCACTGTGCTGTCTACGAAGATAAAATGAGCTGAATTCACACCATGGTGGAGGAATGGGAAGAATGGAAAAACCTCCAGTTATTCCAGCAGCACAGGAGCTACAGTTATTAACTAAATATCTTGAAACAATATCTGTAAACATTCTACAGACGCAGTTTCACATATGTGAAGATCTGCTGATTTTTATGCAGTTTTTGCAAGTTAATCTGTAACTTTTCTTGCAAAAAACTGTCATAAAAATATCACCATTTACTTACTTATTTTTAAATCTGAATTAGCTTAGTATATCATTTTCAATTTTTACCTACTTAGACATGCTGATAAAACTGATAAAACTCAAACAGCTTAATGCCCCAGTTCTCAATTTTAAAGAAAGTTATCTGCATTTGATAAGAGCTGTACGAATAAACTTAACTCTTAATCTTCTTTTTTATTTCCTGGAACAAGAGAAATCTGACTCCACAGCTTTTTTCTGTGATGCTGTAGTCTTTGACCTTGTGTACATTTCCTGTTTGTATTGTACCATCTAATCACTGCACCAAAAACCCTTTTCACGCTGCCACAAGGTAACAAAGATGATGTTCTTCTGGTTTTTGCAGTTGAATTGCTGCGAGTAAACTGCTTCTAACATTTATTTTTATTTAATTGTTATCCAATTAGCTAATCACACAGCAGCACCTCAAAGCACTCAGACATGGTCAAGATGACCTGCTGAACTTCAATCAGGAAAGCAGTATTTACTCAAATAACCACTCGTTACAACCAAGGTATACAGAAGAGCATCTCTGAATGCAAAACACGTTGAAACTCGCAGCAGATGAGCTGCGGCAGCAGACCAGCAGATCTTTCGCATTCATTTCTTTAGATCCTGGGATGATTTGTTGCTTTTTGAGATCTTTTAGGCTACTTCACTTTATCATACAGGTTCTATTTAAGCAATTTAATAATTCAACAGATCTGGCAGAAATCAGACAATAAAAGTTAATTTATGACTTAGAGGGGGTAATTACTTTTTCACATGAGATGAGTTAGCTTTGGATATGTTTTTTTTCTTAATGAATGAAATAATCATTTAAAAACTGCATTTTGTATAGCGATCGAAAATGTGGCGTCATTTCCAGGGTAAAACCGCAAAGGATTGTGGGTACAAGTGGCACAGGCTTTTACAAGACAGCAGTCACACAGAGATAAACAGACACAAAAAATGGCAAGAAGCTGTTGTATTATTAACTGCTATAGCCAGTCGCATGACAGCCACTGGAAGCCAACGGGTAAAGCAATTGGTTTTTATCGGATTCCTTCGTGGAAGAAAAATTGTTCAAGTCATGTTTCCGAAGTCACGAAGAGGCAACGGAGGGCTTGGATTGCGGGGTAAATCCCGAAATGCACGGTGGTACAAGAAATCCCTTTCACTGGAAAGAAAAGCGACTGTCGCTGCCCCCTCTCTCTTCCAGTACTCCAGAGCGAAGATAGCCTTTTCGTCAAGTCTGTCTTTGTACGGACCTGCCGTGTTCTCCTTTCATTTTGTACATAACTGTTTTCAGAGCAAATAAAATGCAGGTAGGGATTAAAACCGCAGAATTAATGGTTACTGGTGCTGGAAATGCTAGCTTGATGCAGTGTTTTAATTTTGCTGCCACTCGTACTTACAATGCAACGTGCGAAAGTCACGTGGTCTGTCGATCTCTATTTACCCGGGTTATTTTTGTCCAAGATTAATTTGGTACCTGAAACATGTAAAGGTGACGAATGTGTAAAAACTTTGTGTTGACACATACACAAACATACACATGTGCCAAAAATAAACCTGTGGGAAACACTGCAGTCTGTACAGTACCATGTAAATACAGCATAAGAAAGCTTGAAGTGGCTGAAAGCTTAGCTACCAGTCCGCATGTAAACAGCTCATTGACCGTCCTGCTAAATGCCTTCAAATAGCTCTGGACTGGACTGACCCAAAGCAATCCTGTTCATTCTGGAGTCAGTCCTATAGAGTCTAAGGAGGATGAAGGTTTTAATTTAGCCTCGTAATCTCCAACACAGTGCCTACCTCTCTGCCTCTCCCTCTGCAGCTTCACCTTCTTTAATAGCAACATGACGACAGCAACACGATGCACGGGTCAGAGGTCACAGTGTCTTCTTAACTGAAGAGCCAAAAGTTTAAACAGCCGCTGGGTGATAAAGCATGTTGGACTTTAAACAAGACACTTATCAGCTTTTGCCGCTGTCAATGGTTCACGGCCCGACTCAGAGTGACGACGTGAAAAAGGAGAAGCAGGAAATCAAAACTCAGCAACCAGCAGAGTCTGTTAACTTAAGAACTGCCTCTGAGGGAGCAAAGCAGTCACTTTCACATCACTTTTAAAGGGGAACCAGTGATATAAACAAGAGCAGGCCAAACATTACCACATACTGATTGCACAGGGTTAATACGCAGATTTCAAACAGCTCTGACCTGAACCCCCGAAAACGGTGACAGGACTCCAAGGAGTTTAAAGGGAAAAGGTGTCTGACAACAGTCAAAGTTTTCATGTCTTCTCTGCCACTTTGGGTCGTTCACGGGAAACGTAACTAACAAATGAAAACATAAAGCAACAAAGAGAAGTTCAGTGGCTGACTCTTCTCGCCTCCACACAGCCAATCAGGACTTTACGCTGTGAGCTTCAGATTGTTTCAGGAGGTTATAGACACAAATGCCTGCAGCACAGATGGACGTGGTACAGGATACTTCCATGTGCTACCTGGGAAATATCACATGTAGAGGCTCAACTTTCTCAGGATAAAATATTTTTAAAGCCTCATTCTGAAGTAAAATCAGCATTTATCAGATTTCACAAGTAAAGTTGGTTTCAACAAAAACAGCCCAAACTCTGTTTTAGATGGCTGATCAGTAAGCTAACCCACCCATTATGTTGAGTCGTGCCTGTGAGCTTATTTCTGTAATAATTCAATCATCGGTGAATCAGAAAGCTCCAGATCATTAAAATATTTTCCGAACAGCTGGAAATGAAAATCAGAATCTTCCGCTGGCTCGTCATGGAAACAATAAATGGATAAACAAAGAGGACCCTTGCAGGCCACCGTCCGGTGACTTTCTGTGTCGGTGCAAGTTGAAGCAGGCAGATGGACTGTACTGCTGCTCTCCGCCTCTAATCCAAACTTAATCCCGCTAATGAGGATGACATGGAGGGTGAGGCAAAACCACATCGGCAAGCCCACAAGGCATGACGCAGGACGCCGAACAACTGCATGATGAAGTCGGAGACTGTGGACTAATTTTTGTTAGTCCAAAACTAAAACTTTTATGTCACACTGGGATTTTAAAAAGCCGCCATTTTTGCCTATTTGATTACATTTTATTGGAAAAAACTTTTAATCAGTTAGCCAGAAACACTGTAGTCAGATCAGGGCTCTAGACTAACTTTTTGCCACAGTTGCGCCCAACTTTTTCTTTTTTTTTTTTTTCCCCTTTCTTAGGTGCACCAGCACAAAAGTTAGGTGCAAACAAATTTTTCATCCGCATCGCTTAACACCGCAGCTTTACACATTCCTTTTTTTTTTTTTTTTTAAATTGCTGTCCATACAGAGAATATTGATTTCTAAATGATTAATAATCTTGTCAACTAGGGCTGCCACAAATTATTATTTTGATAGTTGATTAGTCACCAATTATTTTTGCACTTAGTCGACTAATCAGATCATGCATCCCTATTGGACATAAAACGTACAGCTTATTGCACCAGCATGCATCTGCTCTTATATAACTATCATTAGTTTACAGCTTTAAGTGTTTAAGGTCTGTGCTAACTAAAAATAAAGACAAGATGATGGTTTATTAAATTTTAATGACAACTGCAGATTGTTTCGGTGGAGTTTAATAAACTCAGCCGTCTGCTCCTTGCTATCTAAAATATAACTGGACAATGGGAAAGAGCTGGATGAAGAAATCACTGAGAAGGTGTGGTATGAAACATGGAAAGAACATAAGAATACAACTCAATCATTAAAGTGGAGAGAATTCATCTGGAAAAATCAAATTTGCTACTTTATTACACCTAAGATTAAAAATAAACAAACCAATACACAACAAATGGCCTGTATTTATATAGCGCTTTACTAGTCCCTAAGGACCCCAAAGCGCTTTACATATCCAGTCATCCACCCATTCACA